TTTTTTTTGAGATGGAGTGTTGCTCTGTTGCCCAGGCTGAAATGCAGTGATGCGATCTCGGCTCCTGCAACCTCCACCTCCTGGGTTCAAGCTATTCTCCTGTGTCAGTCTCCTGAGTAGCTGGGATTACAGGCACCTGCCACTACGCCTAGCTAATTTTTGTATTTTTAGTAGAGACGGGATTTCACCATGTTGGCCACCTGGTCTTGAACTTCTGACCTCAGGTGATCCATCTGTCTCAGCCTCCCAAAGTGCTGGGATTGCAGGTGCGAGCCACCACACCCAGCCCCTTTGTCTTTCTTATCCCATCTTCCAGGTGGTCCCGACCCCTCAGCAAGCTCACCTGTCCATAATCTAGGGAATTTTGTCCTTAAAGTCCCATTTTAGCACCATTGCCAAAGCCCTCCAGGACCTTACAACATTACTGGAGGAGGCCACGCTGTAGTTAAAACCCTCCCTTGTTTGCTTTTCCATGATTCTCCCTTCCACCATTCTCTTTGCTGCCAACTTTGTATGTTGCATTACTCCCTTCTCAGGCTGCTATGAAGAAATACCTGAGACTGGGTAATTTATAAAGGAAAGACGTTTAATTGACTCACAGTTCTGCACGGCTGAGGAGGCCTCAGGAAACTTATCATGGTGGAAGGGGCAGCACACACGTCCTTCTTCATAGGGTGGCAGGAGAGAGAATGAAAGCTGAGTGAAGGTGGAAGCCCCTTATAAAACCATCAGATCTTGTGAGAACTCACCATCACGAGACTAGCATGGGGAAACTGCCTCCATGATTCAATTACCTCCTATCGGGTCCCTCCCACCACATGTGGGGATTATGGGAACTACATAATCGGGAACTACAATTCAGGATGAGATTTGGTAATCTCAGGAAAGGCAGAGATGGGGCAGCCCTAGAGCCTTCAGCAACAAGAGTTCATGGGCCTTTATTAACCCTCCCGCTCTGCCGTGGATCTCTGACTGAGCTCAGCTCCCTTCATGGGGCAGCTTCCTTGGGTTCTCGGCCACTCACTGACGAGGTGGCCCAATTCCAAAGTCCAGGGACAGGAGACAGCCCTTGGCTCCTCCTCCTGGGAAGACATCTATCCAGCTCCATCAGTCCTGGTTGGGGTGGGGGTGGGGAAGCAAAATCACATGGTCTTCAGAGCTGCTTCTGTCAACTATTTTACTATTATCTTCACTATCTTTGGAGGCCAATAGCCCATTTCCCAGACTTCCCAGAAAAGTGAGAAGTTGGCTCCTTTGTCACTTCTTGGGGAAGTCTGATTAAGGTCAAAAAGGTTGCCTGCTATTGACAAAGAGGCACAGGAAATGCCTGGCTAACCTGCTCCCAGAGGAGCCTCTTACCTTTTCATTTTTCCCACCTGTTTCCCGGCCCAGCACGTGCCCGGGAAAGGACTGCAGCTGACGGAGGATTGCGGCTGTCTTTGGTCACACTGCGTGTGGGCATGTGCTGTAAATGCGTGACCTTGATTGGGGCCGGTGCAGCCTGCAGGAGGTGCCCTGGCTGACCAGAGTTAGCTCTGCAGGTACTGGGTTGGGGGCCAGGAGGGTTGGGGATGCTGAGATTGGGGAGCACAGTCCAGGGCTTCTTCCCCAGGCAGACAGGTTGAGCAAGAGGAATCACAACATGAGTCCAGGGGGCAGGTCAGGGGAAGCAAGTAGGTGCTCCCATCTTGAGCCTGTAGCAAAGCAGGTAAGCACCACTCAAAAGAGCTCTGTCGAAGGTCCCTTATCACCTGGTGTTGGCCAAATTCTATGACTCTCAGGTTTCCCTGCTGGGTTTCTTCATGTACTCTGCCACTGTACCCCCGTTCCTTTCCTTAGGTCTTTCTTGGGCTCTCAGGACCTTCTTTTTTTCTGTTTTTCATCCCACAAATGGAATGGGGCATCTTGTTCTCTTTCACTGGTTCCACCATTTCCTTACCAGGCTTCCGATTTTGATCTACTTTCTCAGAGTAGAGAAAGGTAGTCCATGGTAAGAGATTTGGGCTCTGCTGTTGCGGTGTGTGACTTCTGTTGCTTTATTGACTTCATTCTTCCTAAGCTTCCTTTTCCCAGACTATAAATGTGAGACTGTTAAGAGTTCCTACTTTAGACCAGGTGTGGTGGCTCAAGCCTGTAATCCTAGCACTTTGGGGGGCCAAGGCAGGAGGAACACTAGAGGTCAGAGGTTCAAGACCAGTCTGGGCAACATAGGGAGACCCTGTCTCTAAAAAAAGAGTTCCTACTTCATGAGGTTGTTATATGGAATAAGTAAACTCATGTAAGTAAAACGCTTCGTATGGGGTCTGGAGTGTACTAAGTACTCCATGAAAGTCACCTGCTGTTACTTTCCCTCTCATGCGGTTTCTAGGAGACCTTCTCCCTCCCCTTATTTCAACTCTCCTGTAGAATGATCTCCAAATCTGAATGTTTGATCTGAGCTCGAGTTTCCCCTGCATGTTGAGTGGCAGTGAAGGGCAGAGGAAAAAGCATGAGCTCATGTGATGGCAGAAAGGGCTCATGTCCTGCCCAGCACTCACAGCTGTAAACTTTGCACAAGGTATTTCATCTCAACATGTGCTCATCCACTCATCCATTAAGTACAATACTGACAGTTGCTTTGCTGAAGTGGAATAAGTTTGGCCTTGTCCATTTCATCCATCATGCTTACCATGCTCCTCCCCAGCTGAAGGAAAGTGAGGTCCTTGACAGCAGGGGCTTCGCCTCCTTTCTCCCTCCTCCATTCCTTGTCCCAGCAGTCTCCTAGCACAGGTTCGTAACATTGCTTCCTCATTCACTTTCCCTCCTTCTATATTCCTTTGACTTCTCGAGGTCAATATGTACCAAACCAAACAACGAATCATTGTCTTCACTAGACCTGACCCATGAATTTAACAAATAGTTAAGTGCCAGGATTAAGAGATGAGACAGAAGACAGATGAGACATTGTCTCATTTACGGAGTTGTTCACTGTCTACGGGGGAGATGGATGATGATGCTGGGATGTGTATTTGCAACAGGATTACAGACATTGCTCAGGGGCCCTAAGCATAGAGAAGGAATGTTTCTGACTATAGAGGCTGGAGAAGGCCCCTTAGAGAAGGTGATCATTATCCTGGGTATTGATGAAAGAGTAGAAACTTGCCAGGCAGAGAAGACTGACAGATGGCTGGAAGAGTGGTGTGATGGGCATGAACTAAAATGGTGTGTTCAGCTGGAATGGAGGGCTGAGACCATTTCCCCTCATTTTCTTTCTTTCTTTTTTTTTGGAGTCTCGCTCTGTCGCCAGGCTGGAGTGCAGTGGCGCAATCTCGGCTCATTGCAACCCCTGACTCTCTGGTTCAAGTGATTCTTCTGCCTCAGCCTCCCAAGTAACTGGGACTACAGGCACGAGCCACCACGCCCAGCTAATTTTTGTATTTTTAGTAGAGACGGGGTTTCACCATGTTGGCCAGGATGGTCTCAATCTCCTGACCTCACGATCCGCCCACCTTGGCCTCCGAAAGTGCTGGGATTACAGGTGTGAGCCACCGCACCCGGCCCCCTCATTTTCCTAAGTGGAAATGTGGCACATACACAAGAATAGAAAACAGATAGTATAACACTCAAATAGTATAAAACACCTAGGATCACTCAGCTTCAACAACTATCAACTCCAACTCGTGGAAAATCTTGTTCTACCTACATCCTTACTCACTAAACACCCATACCATTATTTTGATACAAATCTCAGACATTGAATAATTTCATTTGTAAATATTTTTGGGGTCTATATGCTATGACAATTCTGTGAAAAATTTTTTAAATAAATAAATACTTTGGTATCTTAAAAAGATAAAGTACATCCTCTTTTTGTCCTCAAAAAGGAGGCATAGTATAGTCTAACACTGCAACTTGTTCGCTGTATTTGTATCTTAGCCATCTGTCTGGCGACCACGCTGTATCAGGATTTACAGAATTGCCTTCCTCTTTGAGGAGGCTACTTAGTATTCCATTTGTGACTATGCCATAATTAACTTAGCCAGTCCCAGCTGATGGGCATTTAGGTTATTCCCAACCTCCTAATATAAAACAAAGCTGAGAGACCACCTTTAAACATACATCTTCGCTACCTCTGGGCATTCTTAGATGTGGAACTAAATTCCATTACATTCTTGGATGCAGGTCGCATTCTTGGATGTGGAATTGCTAAGATGTTGTGCACATAGATTCTGAAAGATGCTCCCTATTTGGCCTAACAGGTGCTCTGAATGATATGACAAGGTTGCTTTCTCTCTGTTGTGCAGGCTTTTGACACTTTGCAATTCTCTTTCTACCCCTTCCTCGTTTACTCAGTAACATATACCAATTCGACTCCCCTCAGCCTCCTCCCTCCTGGATTAGGCCTGCATACTTTCTTTTTTCTTTTTTTTTTTTTTTTTGAGAGGAAGTTTTGCTCTTGTCGCCCAGACTGGAGTGCAGTGGTGAGATCTCGGCTCACTACAACTTCTGCCTCCCGGGCTCAAGCGATTCTCCTGCCTCAGCCTTCCCAGTAGCTGGGATTACAGGCGCGCGCCACCACACCCAGCTAATTTTTGTATTTTTAGTAGAGAAGGGGTTTCACCACGTTGAACAGGCTGGTCTCAAACTCCTGATATCAAATGATCCACCCGCCTCGGCCTCCCAAAGTGCTGGGATTACAAGGGTGACCACTGTACCCAGCCAGGCCCGCGTGCTTTCTTATCAAGGCAGTTGCGGCTATCAACTCAGCATGTATTCTCATCACCTGCCAAAGCGAACATCCTAAAAGAGGAACTGAGTCATTCTTAAACACCTCTGTTGGTGTGTCATCTACGTTATTAAAAATCCAACTCCGGCCGGGCGTGGTGGCTCAAGTCTGTAATCCAAGCACTTTGGAGGCCAAGGCGGGCGGATCACCTGAGGTCGGGAGTTCAAGGCCAGTCTGACCAACATGATGAAACCCCGTCTTTAAAAAAAAAATTAAAAAAAAAAAAATCCAACTCCTTAGCCTGCCTTCAGTGCACTCTTGTTTGTCCCCAGAGTCTCACTTATTTCTCATATACCTTAGGCTTCACTGAAACTGGACTCTAGTGCCTTACTTGGGCCTTAGTTCACCCATTCCCTCCTTTTTCTGCTCGCAGAAGTCTTGCTTATCCTTGAAGGTAAACTCCATCTCCTCCATGAATTCACACAGTGTAAGGACCACTGGTTTTGGACCCAGGTTGACTTGAATTCTTATACTGGCTCTCTTTTGGCGGGGGTGTCATTTAATTCTCCTGAAACTCAGAGTTTTCATGTTAGAGAAAGACAAACACCAACCTTGCAGGATGACTGTGAGGCTCAGGGATAATGGGAACATAGCAGGGGCTGAATAAAAAGCAATTCTGATTATTTCCGTGGTCACTATTACCGGCCCGCCGCGCTTGATTGCAGCCGCTGGTGCTACACCGGCTACATTTGCTTCGTGTTGTGGACAAGGCTGCCTTGACCACTAGACTGCAAGCTCGCTGCGGGCTGGGCTCACGATTCACCCCGGATCTCCCAGCCCTGGCGCCGAGCCGGCACTGGAGGCGCTCTCTGCCTGCAGAATAAGTGGGGAAAGCACAGGAATAAACGTAGAAAAACAGGCCCGGACAGACGGAGAGAGGACAGACCGCGAGGCAGGTTTCACCGGGAGTCAGAATAGCGGGCGAGTCCTGGCCCGGGAGGCGGGGCCTGGCTCGGGGGCGGGGCTTGACGCGGACCCCGCCCCGGTCCGTTCGCGAACGTGCTCCGCTGGCTCAGTCCGCCCGCCGCTGCGTCCCGGGGCGCAAGTAGGCTTCTTGGCCGCCCTGTGGGCCGGGGTGCGGAGCCGACATGCGCCCGCTGCTCGGCCTCCTTCTCGTCTTCGCCAGCTGCACCTTCGCCCTGTACTTGCTATCGACGCGACTGCCCCGCGGGCGGAGACTGGGCTCCACCGAGGAGGCTGGAGGCAGGTGCGTGGCGGCGTCCGGGTTCGGGTGACAGGAAGGGAGTCGGGTCCGAGGACCGGGGCTGGGAATCGGAGGTTCGGAGATTCGGGTTCCGGGTTCCGGTATCGGCGGCGTCTGGGGCTGGGAATTGCGGTTCACTTACCGGACTAGAATCCGGTCTGGTGTCTGGGCCCGCGTCCACACGGTCTCGGACAGCCGGGTGGATGGGAGCCCGCCCCGGGGCTGACTGGGACCGGTGTGGCGCCGGCTGCCGGGTGTGCGGGGCGCCGCGCCGCCTTTGGTTGGATGGATTTGCCGAGGGAGGCGCGGCGCTGAGGCCGCCCGCGCCGCCGCCTCCCCGGGACCCGCCGACCTTCGCCCCGTGCGGGCCTCAGCCCCATCACGCCCACTTCCAGCTGCCTCTCCTCCTCCCACCTTACTTCCGTCAGGTCTGCCCTGGAGACTTTAGACATTACGTCTTCAGGAGAAATGTTGCATGGACAACTTTAAATCATTCACGAATCAGTTATCGGCTCTGCCCTCTTCCAGGCTGTCTCTACTTTTGCCCTACTTGGTTTTTTTCCTTTTTCTTTCTTTCTTTTTTTTTTGAGACGGCGTCTCGCCCTGTCGCCCAGGCTGGAGTGCAGTGGCGCGATCTCGGCCCAGTGCAACCTCCTCCCAAGTTCAAGCGATTCTCCTGCCTCAGCCTCCTGAGTAGCTGGGACTGCAGGCGCCGGCAACCAGGCCTGGCTAATTTTTGTATTTTTAGTAGAGACGAGGTCTCACCATGTTGGCCAGACTGGTCTCAAACTCCTGACCTCATGTGATCCACCTGCCTCAGCCTCCCAAAGTGTTGGGATTACTGTGCCTGGCCTACTTTTTCCTTATAATGAACGACTGGTCGAGGCAGGTGGCAGAGCAATACTTACCTGGCAGGTTTTTGTGAGTGCTGCATACTCTTTATAAAGTACATGGAAGTGTGCCTAGATCAGCATTGCGTGGTGAAGGGAATTTCTGAGATTTGACTATTAGGGCAACTGTTTTCAGTTATTGTGTTCTTTTGCTGTAGCTAAGAAGTCTCTGCTGAGGGACCAAGAGAAGCATTCTCATGAGAAGTAATTAATCAGCGATGGAGTCAAGGACTGTTCAGATAGCAGAGGCAAAGTAGCCTTTATACTATAACCCTTGGACAGGGTTATAGTATACAGAATGCACTGAGGACCAGATTAAGAGCAGAGTGAAATAGTAGGCTCTTTGAAAGGGTTCAATTCAAGCCTGACATATTATCAAAAAACTTAGGTTTATGGTATGGGATAGATATACTTTCCTGGAGAATATTTGATTGGTGTTATAGTGAATGCTGAAAAGTCATTTTACCTGGCACCTCAGGAACAGTTTGAAGTCTGAATGGTTCTTGGTTTGTGGGGGAGTCAGTGTCCTTGAAAGGAAGGCAATTTAGGACATTTAGAACTTGCCTGGAAAAGAAACCATTTGCCTCTTAAGAACAGATTCTAAAATCCCAGAGCTAAAGGGGAACTTCATGACTATTTAACACCCACCCCTCATGTTTTAGGTAAGGAAACAAACCCAGGGACTAGTCCAAGGACATATAACAGAAAGTAGCAGGGTTGGGATGCTAACCCAGGTCTCCTGCTTCAGAACTAGGGCTCTCCTCTCTGTTTCTGCTACGTCGTATCAGGTCATCTGTCATCGGGAGTGTATGTGTTCCCAGCAGACCAGATGATGGGCATATTTATAAACCTACTCTGAAAAGTAGACACAGCAAGTGAGTTTCGTAAGCACTGGGCTGATCTGAACTCATGTTTCCATCGGCTTTTCCAAATCCGCAGGTCACTGTGGTTCCCCTCTGACCTGGCAGAGCTGCGGGAGCTCTCTGAGGTCCTTCGAGAATACCGGAAGGAGCACCAGGGCTACGTGTTCCTGCTCTTCTGCAGCGCCTACCTCTACAAACAGGGCTTTGCCATCCCTGGCTCCAGCTTCCTGGTCAGTGTCCTGCCCTCCTTCCGATTCTGTTTCCTTATCTGCATAATTCTGATACTCCCCTGTAACCTCCTGGGATTGTTGTGTGGGGATGATTAAACTTGACAGTGGGTGTAGTGGGGCTGGCACATACTGGCCCACAGTGTCTGCTGAGGGATTGAGTGAGCACAGAAGTGGGAGACACTCACAGCTTCCTCATATACTGCTTCCCTCTCCTGCCCCAGCATGTTTCTCTCCTCTAGGCTGAGGCTGGACCTGCTCAAGCAGTTTCCTTGAAACTAGGAGAAATATAGACATGTCCAAGAGGACAGGGGAGGTGTGTGGTGCTCAGGGTCAGGGACCGACTCCTTGAGGCTGCCCTGTGTCTGTCTTTTGTCTTGAGCTGATCCCTCTTCAAGGCACAGAGCCAGCTGCTGCTTGGTGGGGCCTCCACATCCGGACCTGAGGGTGAACCCTCACTCTGCCTGCTGTGATCTTGGGCAAGATACTTAACCTCTCACCTGCAGAATGGGGCAAGGATGGCATGACTCGGGGATGTGGTGAGGATGACACAGGACATGTGGTCAAGCACTTAGCACAGCGAGCTCGGCAGCTCCCCACTTTCCCACTTGCAAGGCTTTCTCTTACTTTCTCTCTTGGACCCCATGTTTTGTCAGGATGATATCTACCAGCCAGAATGCATTTAGGAAGTATTGGTTCACTTTTCCATTTTTCTTTTCTTTTTTTCTTTGAGATGGAGTTTTGCTCTTGTTGCCCAGGCTGGAGTGCAGTGGTGCGATGTTGGCTTACCACAACCTCTGCCTCCCAGGTTCAAGCAATTCTGCCTCAGCCTCCCGAGTAGCTGGGATTACAGGCATGCGCCACCATGCCTGGCTAATTTTGTATTTTTGGTAGAGACGGAATTTCTCCATGTTGGTCAGGCCGGTTTCGAACTCCCGACCTCAAGTGATCCACCTGCCTCGGCCTCTCATAGTACTGGGATTACAGGCATGAGCCACTGCATCTGGCCCACTTTTCCATTTTTCTTAAACCAAGACTTCTTCAAGTGTTGGCTAGAGCTCTGGTCAACATGGGACCCCTGGTATTAGCATACTACATAGATGTAATTCCAGCAAAAATGAAAGAAACAAGACATCTTACATAGCTTGTGTGGTCTTATCAAGGGAAAATTCATGGTTTGTGTTCATCTTTTGAAATAGTAAAAATAACTTGTGAGTTTCATTTCTACTTCCTTGGAGCCCCAGTAACTGCAGAGTCTACCATAGCCACAGATCCCATCTAAACCTGCTGAGGCTTTAATCCTTATCCTCATTTTCAAGGTGAAGAGACTGATGCCAGGTGTAGTTCCCAGCCTTTTCATAATTTTTCATTCACCTCTTTAAAATGGCAATTGGGACTTGGGGCACTGGCTCATGCCTGTAATCCTAGCACTTTGGGAGGCTGAGGTGGGAGGATTTCTTGAGCCCAGGAGTTTTGAGACCAGCCTGGGCAACACAGTGAGACCCCGTCTCTACAAAAAAATTTAAGAAGTAGGTGGATTTGGTGGCGTGTGCCTGTAGTCCTAGCTACCTGGGAGGCTGAGGCAGGAGGATTGCTTGAGTCCAGGAGTTTGAGTGTGCAGTGGCTATGCTCATGCCAGTGTCCTCCAGCCTGGATGACAGAAGGAGATCCTGTGAAAGAAAGAGAGAAAGAGAGAGAGGAAGGGAGGGAGGGAGGGAAGGAAGGAAGGAAGGAAGGAGAGAGAAAGAGAAGAAAAAAGAAAGAGGGAGAGAGGGAGGGAGAAAAGAAGAGAGAAAGGAAGAAAGGAAGAGAGAAAGGCAATTGGGTTTTAGCTGGGAAGAAACAGCAAAGGAGGAGGGAACCTCCTCAGGCCCCAAGATAAGGTGCCTGCTGGCTGCTAGATGCTCACCTGCCTGAGGGTTTGTTTTCTTTGCAGAATGTTTTGGCTGGTGCCTTGTTTGGGCCATGGCTGGGGCTTCTGCTGTGCTGTGTGTTGACCTCAGTGGGTGCCACATGCTGCTACCTGCTCTCCAGTGTTTTTGGCAAACAGCTGGTGGTGTCCTACTTTCCTGATAAAGTGGCCCTGCTGCAGAGAAAGGTAAGGGGAGGGGTCACACCTGAGAGCTGGGACCCCAGAGAGTCACACGTGCATGGCCTTGAAAGCAGCACGTAGCGGGGATTTCCCACAGTGCTCTTCCATGCCGTCTCAGGAGACCCTAGCGGCTCTTTTGATGTCTTCAGGAGACATAGACCTGGGATCAAATCCCAGCTCCATCATTACCAGCTCTGGGACTTCAGGCAAGCTCCCCACTTCTCTGATCCTCAGCACCTCCATTTTTAAAATGAGGAAAACAGTCTCTCCCTGGAGGGTTGGTGGAAGAATTGGGAACAGATTATGTAAAGTGTCCAGAGGAGTGCCTGGCACTGGCAGGTTTTCAATACCTGGAGACGCCGTCTGCTTCTTAACAGCTTTGTCCTCTGGCCACAGGTGGAGGAGAACAGAAACAGCTTGTTTTTTTTCTTACTGTTTTTGAGACTTTTCCCCATGACACCAAACTGGTTCTTGAACCTCTCGGCCCCGATTCTCAACATTCCCATCGTGCAGTTCTTCTTCTCAGTTCTTATCGGTAAGATGCTGGTGGGGTAGGTTGGAGTCTTCACAGCTGTCACGTTGGGGGTCTGCCCTGGGTTATTGGCCATGTGAGCATGAGCCTGCTTCTGAGAACACAGGCTCACAGAGTGTGGCTTCAAGCCTTAGGATCTAAAGAAATGATTCCTGATTTCAGATCTACTCGGGCTTCAACAGGAAAACCTGTAAAAATACTTTTGGACTAAATAGTGTTCACTGCACAGCTGTATGTGCTAGGCACTGGGATTAGAAGAGTTAGTCTATGTAAAGCACATAACTTGGCTTATAGTAAGTACTCAGTAAATGCCAGCAGGAAGAGCAGGGTTGGAATGAGGGTATGTGTCCATGAGTTTTGAGTGGGGACAGAAGAAAGGAGCAGAGCAAGGGACTTCCTGCCTGGTTTTTGGCCCCTGTTTGGATTAAGTTCTGCCTTAAGAAGAGCTGGCATCCGTGAGGTTCCATCTTGCCTTTTGACAATTGCACAACCTGCGGCAAGCCACTTACCCTCAGTGGGCCACCTGGCCAGATGAGAGGCTAGGAAAAGAGCAGTGTTTCTCAAAGTGTGGGCCTTGGGCCACTTTTATCAGATTGGCAGGGTCAGGGGGCTTGTTGAGAATCTAGATTTGGGGTGTACTGCAGACCTGAATCAGAATCTTGGGGGTGGGATCTGGGAATATGCATTTTAATCCAGTTGTTCCCAAGCTGCAAACCCATTAAAAATCACCTTTAAACCTATTAAAAATCACCTGGAGGTCGGGCTTGGTGGCTCATGCTGTAATCCCAGCACTTTGGGAGGCCAACGTGGATCACCTGAGGTTGGAAGTTCAAGACTGCTTGGCCAACATGTTGAAACCCCGTCTTTACTAAAAATACAGAAATTAGCCTGGTGTGGTGGTACTTGAGAGGCTGAGGCGGGAGAATCACTTGAACCCAGGAGGCCGAGGTTGCAGTAAACTGAAAGTGTGACACTTCACTACAGCCTGGGCGACAGAATGAGACTCCGCCTCAAAAAACACCTGTGGAGATTTAAAAAAATCCCTAAACTAAGGCCACACTACACATCAACTAAATCATCTCCGGGGTGGGACTCGGGGATCAGGAGCTTTTCATGTTTTCCAGGTGATGCAGGTATTCAGTATGAGTAGTTAGTCCCTAGAAGGGATTCCGCTGGCTCCTGAGTGTTGCAGCTTACTGAATTAGACGATATCTAAAGTTTCTCCTTGCCTTTAACAATTGTGTGACCTCTAGCAAGCCACTTACTCACAGTGGGCCACTCATCCTGGTCAGGGCTGGGGCTAGAGCAGTGTTGCTCAAAGTATGGGCCTTTGACCACGTTTACCAGAGTGGTAAAGTGCTGACATCCTGTCAAATCAGTGACTGCTACTTTCCCCATACTGGAGGAAAACCACCCTCCTTAAGCGTAAGGCAAGGATCACTTTCTCTTAACCTTCCTTAGAGCCTGGAGGGAAAGACAATTCAGGGCTTCTGGGTCAAACAGAACAAATGTGTGGTTGAGCGGCTGCTATTAATAGGGGATACCTGAGAGAAATGGAGATCTTAAATAGAAGCAAGATCAACCACGGCCAATCCTGGTCACATCGGCCTGAGGATCTCAGCGAGTGGGGGTTTGCAGCTTCTAATTACCTAGGTGCCATGAGGCTTGGCAAGATCGGAAGACCAGGGTTTCTGTCCCCCATCTCACAAGCTGTGTAACCTTGAGGGGTCTGGGGTCTTCATCTCCTTTACACTTCCTCTCCTATAGAAGAGGAATGGATTATCAGAGGGTTCCAAACCAATCCTAATCTCAGCGTGGGAGTGGAGAAGGGGCTTTTAGAATACAGGTTCCTGGGTACTCCCAGAGCCAAGTAACCAGGGTTTCTGGGTGGAGCCCAGGGATGTGGTTTGTAACAATGTCACCTGCCGATTGTTCTGCAGCCAGCCTGTTCAGCCAGTCAGACTTTTGGGATCCAGGGAATTTGATGACCTCTTTGAGACAGTGCAGAATGTGAATAGTATGTCTTTTAAAAAACTGTTTTTAATCTTATGCATACTGCAAATCTCAACAACAGCACTGCTCTCTTTACTTTGGCTGTTGGGTGCTCAGAACCAAATTTGGGGCCCACTTTTAGCAAACCTTATACATTTTTCTACTAACTATACTTCCTGATGTCTTATATTCTTTTGCAAGCATTTCGCTTTTCCTATTTTTCCTGTCAGTTTCTTTTTCTTGAGAAAAGTCTAGCTCTGTCACCTGGGCTGAATTGCAGTGGTGAGATCTTGGCTCACTACAACCTCCACTTCCCAGGCTCCAGCAATTCTTCTGCCTCAGCCTCCCAAGTAACTGGGATTACAGGCACACACAACCATGCCTGGCTGATTTTTGTGATTTTAGAGACAGGGTTTCACCATGTTGGCCAGGCTGGTCTCGAACTCCTGACCTCAGGGGACCTTGGCCTCCCAAAGTGCTGGGATTACACATGCCATCATGCCTGGCTAATTTTTGTGTTTTTAGTAAAGATGGGGTTTCACCATGTTGGCCAGGCTGGTCTCAAACTCCTAACTTCAGGTGATCCACCCAAAGTGCTGGAATTACAGGCATGAGCCACCGTTCCTGGCCCTATTGTAAAATTATCTTATAGTAGCATGTATCATTTGTGTAAACGTCTCAAGTTCTTTTGTTGAACAAGAGAGGTATATATGGGAAGTGAGGAAAAGAAGAGAAAAGACGGAAAGAAGGGAAAGAGTTAATATGTGTAAGGGTCAAGAGTCAGGCAAAAAAACTGTACTCACTGTTCCTGGTGACATTTCTGAATTATAATTTTCTTAATTTTGCTGCTGCTAGTAACAGGTGCTTTCCCCTTTTCTTCTTCCAGGTTTGATCCCATACAATTTCATCTGTGTGCAGACAGGCTCCATCCTGTCAACCCTAAGCTCTCTGGATGCTCTTTTCTCCTGGGACACTGTCTTTAAGCTGTTGGCTATTGCCATGGTGGCATTAATTCCTGGAACACTCATTAAAAAATTTAGTCAGAAACATCTGCAATTGAATGAAACAAGCATTGCTGATCATATGCATAGTAGAAAAGACACGTGATCTGTATTTTCTGTTTGCCACGTCTCTCTGGACTCAGTTGCTTGTTTGTGTAATGGGTGTGGTCCTCTAAAGCCCTTCGTTGTTTTTAATTGCCTTCAGTAGGTGACGTGGACACTGCATCGACGTGTGGTGTCTGGTCATAAAGGACACTCTGCTCTTGAAGGTGTATTATATCAACTTTTCAAACCAGGCCTGGTGTAGCAGACACTACAAATGGATGCCTCCTAGAAAATGCTGTTTGTGGCCGGGCACGGAGGCTGATGCCTGTAATCCCAGCACTCTGGGAGGCCGAGGCAGGAGAATCGCGTGAACCTGGGTGGTGGAGGTTGTAGTGAGCTGAGATGGCGCCACTGCACTCCAATCTGGGTGATAGGGCGAGACTCCATTTCAACAACAAAAGCAAAAAAAAAAAGAAAGAAAATGCTGTTTGTATTTTGTGGTCTAACAAGAGCTCGGGATAGCCTGTTATGTTTTCCTCATGCCAGCCCCTGAGCTGCGTTGGGAGAAGATGCTGATTGTCCTTGTCCAGAATACCTCTTTTGCAGAGTGACAGGCTGCTGTGACAGATGCCCTCCTCTTGCATCTTTGTGGATGTTTAGTTCCAACGATGACATGGGAACCCACATCACTGACGTTGCTCTTCATCTTGTTAGTCTCTTGAAGAGTGTTTCTTTTGTACTCTCTTGCTGATGACCTACCTCTTCATACGCCAAGTGAAACAAGCTGACAAACTACCTAAGACTTCCATGTATTGCTCGCATACATGATTTCTGTAATGCTTGTGTTCAGTCACTGATGTTACCATGTATGTCACACCTCCTCATGGTTGCATGTCCTGACCATTAAACTGATTGCAAGCAGACTATTAAATATGAATGGAGTTATGGATATGTTCTGGAGAAATTCTTATCCATCTGGATGGGGCAGGGCCCTTGACTCCTCTGAATCAGATGAGCAGGCAAACATGTTCTTATCTGTCCTTTCTGCAGGAATTCCTTCTGTGTCATGCTCAGAGAATGGGTTCAGTATATGGAGCCCTCAGGCAGTATGCCCTCTGAATCTTTTTCATTTTCTTCATTTTTTTTTTTTTTTTGAGACGGAGTTTCGCTCTTGTCACCCAGGCTGGAGTGGAATGGCACGATCTCGGCTCACCACAACCTCCGCCTCCTGGGTTCAGGCAATTCTCCTGCCTCAGCCTCCTGAGTAGCTGGGATTACAGGTACGCGCCACCATGCCCAGCTAATTTTTTGTATTTTTAGTAGAGACGGGGTTTCACCATGTTGACCAGGATGGTCTCGATCTCTTGACCTCGTGATCCACCCGCCTCGGCCTCCCAAAGTGCTGGGATTACAGGCGTAAGCCACCGTGCCCAGCCGTTTTTCATTTTTATTTGCTGAGAGTAACTAAAGAATAATTGTATTTTTTAAAGAGGAAACGTTGGTTTCTAATAACTTTGTTGTGTTGTATCTTAATTGCCTATAGCTGTCATTACTTCCTCTAGCTGCACTACAGAATTGGCACAGACTGGATCAATGCTTCCAAAGACAGAAGGACCTTGGCACCTGAGTTGAGCAGCCCTGTGGTCCTGACCCCACAGGAGTCACTCATCAGGACTTACCAGACTGTTGCTCTTGGGTTTCATCTGCTGGGTTGATGATTTGGCTTGGCCAAGAGTCTTGCCAAGACTTTAATCTAGGCCTCTTGTTCAAGATGGATTCCCAGGTGATGTTACTGGCTATGATATGATCCTTCTACACCAAGGATTTCACTTTTTAAAACGTGTTTCTTTAAAAGAAGCCTTGATAGCGAGAGTGGGGGTAGGAGGCAGCAGATCTGGAAGATGTGGCCCTTCGTGTCCTGGAGCAGGGGAAGGGAGGAGAAAGACATTTTCCACAGCATCGCAGCTATGTGCCCTTTGCCCCTTTTCAGGATCCTTAGATTTGTCTCCCTCTACCCCGGCGATTTTGCAATAATGTGCCTTATCAGTTGTGAGTTTACAGGCAAAGCAATTTTCCAAATAAATATTCCAAATGGCTGTAAGTGTTCTGTGTGGTGCTTGTTTGAACATGTTGCTAACTTTCTACTACCCTTGCCAGTGGGAGTTAGGCTTGGCTGGAGATTGGACCATCCATTCCACTTTCAGTATGCTTCTTACCAAAATAATTCCTCAGAAACCAGATTTTCATCTTCTTTTTCTCTCTCTGCTCCCTGTATGGTGGGGTCACTAGTAACAGGAATAGCTACTGGATGAGCAGCAGGAAAGCATGGGGAAGAAGCAGAGTGCCGGCTTAGCCTTTACAGAATGCTCAAGAGGCAGTCGCCAAATAAAAAGGATTGCCTGTGCCTTTTGTGGCTGTGTCAGATACAGGAACCACAGAAAGTAGCTTTTCCCGTTACCTGTTTCTCGTGGCTGCAGGAACCCAGTCACGTAAAGTCTTCCTCTCCCTCAAGTTCTGACAAATGCTGAGATGGTTAAGGCAGCTCTCAAGATACAAACAGTACATTTAGAAAAAGACAGGACTAGAAAACAGTGAAGTACATTTTTTAATTCCATGCATTTGTTTGCTTTGATAGTCGTTCTTGTTCCTATTGCTGTTCAACACAGAGAGGGAGCCGGCATCAGAGACACTGGGAGCTGGGGACTGACAGTACAGGAGATGAGCAGGGGCAGGTAAGGGAGTTCATTTGGATACTTAACCACAAAAGAAATTCATTTGCTCCATATCAGTAGGAGCTCAAATTATTATAATAAAGCATCAAAGAGGGTCTTCCCACTTCCAGCGTCTGGGAAGTGGTCACTCTGGAGTGAAGAGCCACTGGGGTGATATGGCCAAGATGGGACATCTTCCCAACAGCTTGCACGTGCTGGCCGGGGTTCCCTCTGGCCTGCAGTCACTGGAGGACCCTGTCCACCTGGTCACTGGACAGCAGCCTGGGGCTGGGAGCCAGCGATCCCCTGAGTGCTGTGAAGTGGCTCTGGAGAGCAGAGCTGGGATGCTGCCAGGAGCTTCCTTACAGTGGCCTTGCCGTCTGCTTAGGGCTTGGCTCTGTGAAATCCTGCCATCATACCCTGGCCACGTGACAGTTAACACAAGCCTTAACCCACCTTCTGTTTCTCAGAGCAGTGAAGTCAGAGCTCCCCTCTTTAGCCACCTGTCCCTGAGAAATGCACCAGGTTCCACAAAGATCCTCCGCTTAGCCTAGTTCCGTCCAACTTGAATAGGCATTTGCAGTATCAGTTGTAACATGCAAACAAACAGATTAATATGGTTCTAATGTGCCAGTCTGTGAGGTTGCTAACACTGGGGGTGTGTGTTGGGCTGTTTGTCTTATGAAATCAGCAAAGAAGAAACATTTTGCTGCCTGGAAAGGCACTAAATTCATAGTGACAGTACAAGTCAAAGTCTTGGAAAGAGTGTCACATTGTTTTGGTACATTAGTGTTACAGAGTCAAAGAAGCAAGTAATGGCTTGTATGAACTTCCTGTTTATAAAAGGTGAGGAAGGAACATATTCATTCACCAGGATTGAATGATGTGATTGAAGAGACGTTTTGGAATTGGATCCATCAGTGGTTGCTGTTCCTTCAGTTGGAATTGTCATCCAAAAGGGCACTGGGTAGAGGCAAGTGCCTTTCCCCTTTCACTGGCACTGCCCCTGACAGCCACAGGTGAATCCATAAGAGAACACTGGTGCGAGCCTGTCGTCCTTCCATTGGGACTAACTCAAGCTCAAACGGCAATTCCAATCAATCAAGTGGCAATTGTTGCTCCAAGTGACATGTTGAGAGGTTCTGAGGCTGTGTCTAGGCTCAGGAGGAAACATGGTACTCAATACATAATGTTGGTCTTGGAGGTGGTAGATGATGGTAAGTGGTAGTGTCATGTTTTGGTTTCTGGCTCAGTGGGAAAACAAAACAGCATACACTACTGCAAAGTAGGGCAGGAATTCTATGGATTATAAATATTATGTTCTGGAGAATTCAGTTCCAGGAAGTTCAAGTGGGACTGCTTTAAGAAAAGGGAAAAAAAACCATTTAGACACAAGGACATTGAAGAAAAAAAGAGTACATCATCTGATCAAAAGGATGATTTATTCTTAAAGGATGCCAATACGACACAGTGGCAGAGGGCATTTAAAATGGAGGCTGGGTGTTGGCTCACATTTGTAATTCCAGCACATTGGGAGGCCAGAGCAAGAGGATTGCTAGAACCCAGAGTTCGAGACCAGCCTGGGCAACATAGGGAAACTCCCATCTCTACAGAAAAAAAAACAAACCAAAAAACTGGGCATGGTGGCACACATCTGTGCTCCCAGCTACTCAGGAGGCTGAGGTGAGCCATGATCATCCCACTGCATTCCAACCTGGTGATAGAGTGAGATCCTGCCTCAAAAAAAAGTCTGGGTTGGCGCCAGGAAAACCCCAAACCAGCACATCTATTACTTAGACAAGGAGAGGGGAATAATTTAGCATGACGAAGCTCTACGGTAGATGTCCAGTACTTACTAAATCCTACTCAAAATCTCTTTAATTCTAAAAGGATTGATTTGTTGACGCCCACATTTTAAAGTACAGTATCTTAACTTGAACTAGCTAGATGAAGATGCTAGCTTACAATAGAACTAGCATCTCATCTTTCTAAGTAGGCGTCCCCCACCATCTTGCAAACAAGTCTAAACTTAAGTGGCGGTAAGGTCCATTATAATTTCAAAGTAGATGCAGGCTTCTCTGTCCCTCTGCAAAGCAATTTTAAGAGGAATTGTTACCCAGAGGACATGATCTAGAAATAGATGGAAATCAAAACCAAATGCTCATCTGCAACCTAAATTGTCATCATCTTGCAGTCGTCAGTCAAAAACAGATGTTAACTGTACATGCACATTCATCCCAAGATGCTTAAACTTTCCATCAGTGAAGCAGCTTGAAGCCATAGGCTTATGAAGTTCCTGGAAGCACTGTTGTAACACACTTGTCAGGACTGAAGAATAGCCCATAACCTCCCTGAGCTCTTGATTCAACACTCTTCAGATGACTGTGGAGTTGTTCTCCGAGAAACATACATCAAGATTTTCCCGGTTATCACAAGGTGGGCAGCAAAGGACTAGTATTTCCCTTTTTAACCTCCACTAAAGATATCATTGTTCTCTGAAACCTCTAGTCAATTCTACTCATCAAAGTGTGTTCAATATGGACTTTATTCAACTCTTGACTATACAATGAATGACTGATATTCAGCCGCTACCTGCTACCCTAACATACTCATAACAGTTAATCCAGATAAGGTGTATGACAATGGCGTAACAGATAATCAAGAAGAGAATTCAAAAAAACTGATCAAAATTATGAGGTATCGGTGTAGGTTTTCTAGGAAGACCATCACCAAAAGATGTAACGTAGAAGCTGACCCTCATGTTTCTCTGTTGCCACCAAAGGTGGGCAGGAATTGTATAAAAGTGTCAGTGTTTTATGTTGGACAGAAAGCAGAAAGAAGACATAGAGTTGTAGCATCTCTGTTCCAAGGAATAATGAATGAGAGATTTACAGTACGGTGTGATCTGAAGTCAGAGGATGGAAAATATGGCCTTTCAAGATATTTTTCCAGTCGTTGGTCCTCTAAGTGACCAAGCCTCCTTCTTAAAGCTCGTTAGTCTTGTTCTAGGATGACATCACAGTTGGCGTTTTCTGTCATACCCTACACGTATATACAGTAGTCCTCCCTTATCTGTGGGGGATATGTTCCAAGACCCCCAGTGGATGCCTAAAAACTGATAGTACCAAACCCTATATATACTGCTTTTTTTTCTATACCTACGTATCTGTGATAAAATTTAATTTGTAAATTAGGCGCAGCATTCTTCCCCTTGGGGGCTATTCGTAATTAAATAAGGGT